AATAAGAAAACCAGCAGACCGGACGCCCATATGGGCAGAATGCTAGAGGTGACCAAGAACTTCACCTAGATGAGCGTTGTGCAGAGAATGGGAGAAGACAAATTACTTGTAGAGGCATGTCAAGAGTGGATATAAACAACCATAAGGGTGTGCGGGGGGGAAGGAGAGAGAGACAGAGAAAGAATGAGAGAGAGAGAGAGAGAGAGAGAGAGAGAGAGAGAGAGAGAGAGAGGGAGGGAGGGAGGGAGGGAGGGAGGGAGGGAGGGAGAGAGAGAGAGAGAGAGAGAGAAAGAGAGAGATTTAATGCGAACTCATTCGAAAATAAAAATACACATTCTCTCTCTCTCTCTCTCTCTCTCTCTCTCTCTCTTCCTCTCACACACGTGCACTCGCACACTTGCACTTGTATTTGCTCACTGCCAAAACCATGACAACTAATCATGTGGGTCTCTCTAGGAGAGGGGGAGAGGGGAGAGGGGAGAGACCCGAAAGAATCTTGGAAATAGGACTCAATTGGCTATTGAACCGCCCAACGGCCGACACCCCCTGAAATCCCCAGACTCTGGGTGGACTTTGAAATAACAAGTTTTGACAACGCTTATGGGCTCACTTCACCTCAGCATTAAAGGGGAAGTTAAGGCAAAAATTAAAATTTCACCAGTTGTAGTCTTCAGGGTGCTGAGTCGAATGGTCTTGGTCCGAGAAAGCTGAGACGCTCCCTTCCTACTTGAATCCCAATCGAACTCGCGCACTTCCACCGAAACTGGGTGACTGCGCCCTACTAGATGGGGATTTGTATGCAAAATGTCACTAAAAGGGCCATTTCGTTCTTATAAAAGCACGGATCACCGCGATTGGCCCATATGTTATAGTCTTTTGGTCGCTGAGTCGACTGGTTTTGGTCCGAAAAGGCTGCGATGCAGCGTTCGCCCCTAATTCCCAATCGAACATGGTAGAACAAGCGGTCACGTGCTCCTGCGTACGCCAGTCACCTGGTCACCGTGCCTGCAGGGTACAACTTACAGCCTGTTTTGACCTTTTTTGGGTGCAGTCCTGTCACTCGAGTTGACCTCGAGTTGAACCTTGGTGTGAAAGTTGTCGCCTGCTGGCGTGGTGACCAGGTGATTTTGGCACCCAGGAGCACGTGACCGCTTCTTCAACCATGTTCGATTGGGAATAAAGGAGGAACGCTGCATCGCAGCCTTTTCGGACCAAAACCAGTCGACTCAGCGTCCAAAAGACTACAACATATGGGCCAATCGCGGTCATCCGTGCTTTTATAAGAACGAAATGGCGCTTTTAGTGACATTTTGCATACAAATCCCCATCTCGTAGGGCGCGGTCACCCAGTTTCGGTGGAAGTGCGCGAGTTCGATTGGGATTCAAGTAGGAAGGGAGCGTCTCAGCTTTCTCGGACCAAGACCATTCGACTCAGCACCCCGAAGACTACAACTGGTGAAATTTTGATTTTTGCCTTAACTTCCCCTTTAAAGTACGCGAGAACAAGATGCATAAAAGGCATTGACGGCATGAGGGTATCCGTCCCGGGATCCAACTGCATTTACCCCTGACTAAATTATCAGCTGCATATCAAATACTAGGAGACAAGGGGTGAATGAAACGCCAAATGCCTATGGATTAAACTCGGGTGGAGAACCAAGGAATAAAATTAAGAAGAAAGGACCAAAGGGTTATTGTTGTGTCGACTGTTGCACGTCATGCCTCATCAATGTCAAGCTTATAATTGCCAGTGTTGGACAACTACGGTTAACTTGTAAACCTATGGTCCTTTGTTCTTAAATGCCTATGGGGCATACCTTAACAAGATCTCCCTGGCGCAGCAAGCCATCCACGGCGTCGTCACCTTCGTAGCCAGTGCAAAGATGATACACCTCGTTGTAGTCCGGTTCACGCCCGTCGACCAGGTCCAGTCGAAACGTGCGCTGCACCGTCGAGTTCTGGTCCCGGGCAGGGTCGAGGTAGTAGGGCCCAAACCGGTTCGCACACGTCTCGCCCTCCGGTCGCGGGAATACAATGGAGTACACGTCGTCCAGACACAGCCCAAACAGTTCCAGCAACACACCCGTGCGAGGTTCCGAATCCTTGAACGTTGCCACGGTAACCGCGCCATCCTCCTCTGTCGAGATGGCCGGCACGGCGCCCTGTTGGACGAACCGGATCCCGGTCACCTGGGGCTTGCATACCGCGGTGCTAGTCTGCCTCACATGGCGATCCAGCTCCAGCTCCTCGTTTTGCCACTGCTGCTGCCCGGCTGCTGGGAACAGCGGTGTTTGTTCGCCTAAGCCATCACGAGTGAGTACTCTTGGCTCGGAGAATGGCAGAGAAACGGCCGAACAAACTGGCAACAGCAGGATGGCGATTGCACACAGGACGGAATGCGTTTCGCTTTTCCCACGCCACCAGCACCAATCCATTCCAGAGTGCTAAGCAAAACGAACAGGACCTGTCGCAGGGGTCCAACTAGAACTTAGAAATCAACAGCACACACGTTCAGCACCGCAGCGAGCTAGGGTGACAAAATAAATTGGTGGCGATCGAGCTCCACTGCTCTGTCATAGGGGCGTAGGACTCTAGGAGGGGTTTTGGAAGTGGTACGACCAAAGGCTGTGTTTTTTAGCCCCGGTCACACATGCACTTTTTTTGGCCGAAAGTTTGGATTTCGCTACGCCAAAAAATGCGAGCGGAGCCTCCGCTTTGGCGGAACCTGCATTAGGCCGCGGTCACACATGAAAAGCTTGCACCGCTTTTGCGGAGGCGGAAAGCGGAACTACCGCAGCCGCTTTGGCGGACCACACGATGCAACGGTCACACATACATGTAGACTACTGTGCTCCTCAACGCTCCGCTTTGGCGGAGAGAATGCAAATGCAGCACGTCCTATGAAATTTTAGATGTTCTTGTCCGAGTTGAAGCGACCTTCGCTTGTACAAGTAGAGCTATCGTGGATCGCTGACAGGCTGCTGAATGTCTCCTGTCAAGTACACTCGTCGATTTGGGGCGCATTCACTGCGGCCCAGTACAGGTGTACATGTATTTGAATAATAGTTTGGTTTACATCAATATCAAATTCAAAATAGTTGTATAGCAGGGTGTCGTTGCCTCCTTCTTGTCCGAGTTGAAGCGACCTTCGCTTGTACAAGTAGAGCTATCGTGGATCCCTGACAGGCTGCTGAATGTCTCCTGTCAAGTACACTCGTGGATTTGGGGCACATTCACTGCGGCCCAGCACGGGTGTATTTGAATATTAGTTTAGTTTACATCAATATCAAATTCAAATAGTTTTATAGCAGGGTGTCGTTGCCTCCTCCATGATCCATCATCGAACCAGCGACTGCGTGGATGCCTGCAGTTGCAGTGAGGGTGTGGCAGAGTACTCTACTAAGGAGAGAGTTGGAGATCGTCCGCGATCGGGGCCAATTGGGAGACGGATTCCCTCATCAATTATCCACTCATAACGATGCAGTATTGTTTGCGAGATCTCCAGAACGTACAGTTCATTGGCAAAGAAGAACAATATGAAAACTGAATACCAAACAGCAACCAAACAACACCAGAACTCAGTGCAGAAGTAGCACACCTAACTCCAAAGCCATCACCATGCAGGTTCCGCCAAAGCGGATCCGCGAAAGCGGAGGCTCCGCTCGCATTTTTTTGGCGTAGCGAAATCCAAACTTTCCACCAAAGCGTAACTAACTTACGCCTCCGCCGTTGCCGAGGCAACGGCGGAAGCGTAAGTTACGCTTTGGCGGAACCGCCAAAAAAAGTGCATGTGTGACCGGGGCCTAAGGGCCCGGTCCCACATGCAGTGCAGTGGCGGATCCGCTGGTGCGACAAGGTTTTGCGGGAGTGGTGTCGCACCTCTCCTGCGACAAAATGCTCGATCGCGTGGTCTCACATGTTCACGCGTGCACGGCGAACGAAGCGAGCGCGCCTCTCTGACTTCCAAAAAAAGCTCAGTGCAGCTCTCCTGCAACTCAAGCATGCTTTCACTTCGAAGTACGCGTGCACGGACTGTATATCTACTGATGGTGTACAGTCAGCACAGTACTGTGTCGTGGACAGAACTGTTTCGTCCTTTGTGGACACATCAACGCAGCACTGAATCTGATGTACTGTTGATGTAGATACTACATGTAGGTGTTGGACAAATCGTTGTTTTTGTTGAGTATCAAGCATTAGTTACATGTCGTGAGTTCGGTATTGTTGACTTTGAGTCTTTGTTCTGTATACTATACTAGTAATCTGAAAGAATGGATTTTCCGTTGGGTAACAGTTAGAGGTCGATTGGCGAGACGTTGTCGACAGGCAATGGAGACCGCAGCGACATTTTGTTGCTGAATACTAGTACGAACTTGTTGAGCAGCACGTCGACGATAACCAATGGCAATGATAACTGCTACAGATACTGGTAATAGTGGTACATGTATCGCTCTTGCTTGACCTACATCACAGTGGTCCCCCTGCGTGGTTTTACATTATGGCCATGCTTGGCTGCTCACAGGTCCGGGATTTGGTCTTTGGCCGACGCCGCAGCCGTCGGTTTCAGCTTCTCGGCTATCCACCTATCGCTCCGTGTCTCTCTTCATCCCTTGGCCAAACGAGTCTTGACTTCAACATACATGTACAACAGTTACTATAGCCGTAGCTGCTCTGACTAAAGTCAAACTGTCCACTTCATGATCGAAAATAAAATCGAACAACACAAATCGCTCACTATGTCGGAGTGTCGCAGGAGCGGAACTTCCGCAGGAGAGTATGCGCTCCAAATA